TGCATTTGATTTTTTAACATCATCACCCGGCCGTTTTCCTGAATCCTAAACAATACAAATTATCAGTTAAGTATTAATAGCTCGGGTAAACAATATTTACTTTGATCAGATTAAACACTGGCACATTGGAGACAACTGCTGCTGGTTTGCTAGTTGAGACGAGTGGTTGATCTTCATCATCTTCGCAATCGACAGTAAAAGTAGCACCACTTTGGTGACTCGTTGTGGCCATGATCTCACTGACTGCAGGTGGACTCTGTTGCTCAAAAACCGGGTGCACTACGTGTGTGCCAAAACTGTCACCTCTTTCAGGGCAAACCTTTGTAGTCAAAGAACAGTTAGGAACGAATAGAACCGATTTTAAGTTAGTACCTTGGCCATTTTAGTGTCAGTCAAAGAAGTGCTATTTTTGGGAGGAGTGGTTGAAGGAGTCATCAACAAACTTTTACTCGTAAGCTCAGCTTTCATTCGATCGGGAGGTTTCCAAACTCGATGGCGAGGCTAAAAAATACAAACGGTAAATCAATCAAAACAAAACACTTTGATAAAATAATCGCTTACCAAACCGAGGCCTTTTTTCATGATTACGTGAAAACAGGTAAAATGTGGAAATGAAATAAAGTGTTTAAAAACAAAAACGCAATGTAAATTGAAGTTGGCGAATAGAAGATGATGACAAGCGGACAACAGCTTTCAGTGTTTTGGCAAAACTTTTTCTAAGTGACAATTTTCAGTGCACGGATTTGATGTGCACTGCGCATGCACACCTGTTGAACTTGACTTTTTGCTCAATCGTGACTTTGGTTGTGAAAACGCAGTGTGAAACGTACTTTTTTTAAAAAATAATAAAAATAATTTTGTTGAAAAATTGTTTTATTAAATGCAATATTAAGTTTTTGTACTCTAGCAAATATTAAAATGTGGATCGATAAACAATGAGTTCTTCAAAAAATGTTCACAAAAAAGCAGTTTGTTTCAAATATAATCATTTGATTCGTTTGAGTTTTCAAAATAGTTGTTTTCTTCCTCATCTTGATATTCTTTGTCTTCTTCCTCATCATTAGAATTAGAATCGAATTTATCGTTGTCTCCATCACTGGCATTTTCACTGTCGTCATCAGAATCGTAGTAGTACTCTTCTTCAAAACAGTAGGAAACATAAAAACTGGATTTTTCAAGATGATCTGGAGCTTTGGTATCATTCATTTTGTCGTACAAAATTTGAAATCGGTCAAAAAAGGTACTTTCAGTAATTTGTTCACATTTTTTTAGCAATTGAGCATTGTCGCGGTTTTCCATAATGACTGTGAATGCGAATAAAAAGTTGTTGAAAAATAACAGAGACAAATAATGGAGGTGCACTTGATGAGGATGTTGATGAATGTAAAAATCTATGTGAATTTTTAGTCGTTAGTAAATAGTAAAATAATAAAAAACAACAATGTAAACGTTTACCTAGATATCGAGTAAATGGTTTGCAGAAAAAAACAATTGTAATTTTGTTTTGTCGCCGTAACACAATGTTTGTGAATGGCCATTTGTCTAAATTTTTTTGTGTTGTATTATCAGATTTGATTCGTTTTATGTTTAAGTTTTTCCAATTTGGTTTGTTTTGTATTTCCCAATTTAATTCTTGAACCGTAAATTACTTTTCAGTCAATTATCAACTGATATGTTTTAGGTAACCTTTTACATCATTCACAACGAATAAAAACCGACAGGTGGTTTGATAATAAGTGTACTTTTGATATACTTTTGATGTAAATAGTTTGATATCCTTTTTGCTAATCATGTTGTTGTAGATGCCTGTTAATGATAACATTGATTTTCACGCCTGTCGTTTTATGCAATGAATATCATCAAAATCTGTTTTTAAAAAAACGGTTAAAGAAGGTGAAGATCGTGCACTTGTGGTTTATCGCAAATAAAATTGTCATTAGCAGACAATAAAGCACTTGAGCAAAGTCAAAAACTTATATTATTTAAAAAAAATTTTTTTATTATAAACAATATTAAAATTGATTGAAGTTGTAAATTAAAGTCGGCAGACGTTGACATTCGCTCAAGTGGCGCCAGGGTGAGTCGCAGGTCAATCTTTTACATAAAATTGCATTGTAAAGTGTGCCGTGAGCGAAGAAAGCGCGATTGAGCCCTTGTAGATTTTTTAAAGAGGGTTGCTCAAATCTGCCCACATTTTTAAAACATAAAGTTTATGCAGTAAAAAAATTCCGATTTTAATGGGGGATTGCTGGGACCATCGATTTAAACTTTCTAGTTTTTTATAGTGAAAGAAAACTGAATATATCTTTACTCCTTCCAATCTTAACGGTTGTACCTTTTTTCTAAAATCTCCCATAGGAAACGCATTGAGCTATTACATCGAACTTTACTAAATACAATTGAAGAATTTATTTAAGCGCATTTTTATGTAAAAAAGATTTTTTTACTGCATAAACTTTATGTTTCAAAAATGTGGGCAGATTTTTCTTTATTTTGAGCAACCTCCTTTAAACTTTTAAAAATGAAAATTTTTAATTTTTATTTAATTTAGATTTTGCAAGTGCTTTATTGTCACTTGACGACAACTTTATTTGCGATAAACTACAAGTGCATGCTCTTCACCCTCTTTAACCGTTTCCCTAAAAACAGATTTTGGATGATATTCAATAAAGCGACAAGCATGCAAATCAAGGTAATCATTAACAGACATCTACAACATGATCAGCAAAAAGGATACCAAACTATTTACATCAAAAGTTTATCAAAAGTACACATATAATCAAATCACCTGTTGGTTTTGTTCGTTGTGATAAAAAGTACCCAATTATTACATACCTTTTGTTTAAACCAAATTGCCATATGAAAAATAAATTCTCGATGCATTGCATGAGGCATTTCTAGTGTTAATCAAGATTTAGTTAGTTAAACAAAAAATATACATGGGTGGTTTATTCTCACCGATCATGTGTGCATCACATTTTGTCAGCAGGTGATGTGTTGCAGAGTTGTCTTTGTTTTGATAAGATGCTGCTATCAGATAGTGATCACGTACTGAGCAACACAAAAGAAAACTCGTTCACTCAAGGCATCATTTGTGTCGTTTTAACAGGCTATTCCATGAGAAAAATAGAGATGCCGTTTTCACATCAAGACGATAGTCAATTGGCAATCATCATTGTGATTAGCTTCTCTCATCAAGTGTCACGTTCTGCAGTGCTGTTATCCAGATACCAATGTCGGGAAAGTGTAGGCAGGTATAAAATATAGAGCACAGGAGCGTCGAGTTGTCTTTGACTGGGCTGATCAGCTGACTAGTCATCACACAAACACAACAGCAAACATGAAGTTGACAATTTTGACGCTTCTTCTCGTTGTTGCCGCCGTCTTCTCGGCGCCGGCCGATGTCAAACCACGAGGTAAACAAACAAACATTGATGTCACGTGATTCAACTAAATTTTCACTTTTTTAAAATAGACAAGAACAATAGACCCTACAAAGTGGTGTGCTACTACGGTACATGGTCGTATACGCGCCCTGGCGACGGTCAATTCAACGCAGAGAACATTAACCCGGTATTAAATGATAATTTGAGTTATAATTGGAAGCTAATCCATCTTTCATTTCAGTATCTCTGCACTCATTTGAACTATGCTTTTGCTAAACTTGATGAGAAAACCAATAAGATGGTTCTCTTCGATGTCAAGTTAGACGACAGTGAAGAGCATATGATTCAGCGAACTGCAAATCTGCGCAAATTGAACCCTAACATGGCTGTTCTTATATCTCTTGGTGGCTGGAATGAAGGCAGCAACAAGTACTCGGATATGGTTTCAAAGGATTCATCTCGCAAGATTTTCATCTCCAGTGTGGTTGAGTTTATTCAAAAGTACAACTTGGACGGTTTTGATTTGGATTGGTAAGTTAAAACAATTTTACTTTGTTTCTGTTTACAATTTTATTTGTTTGGCTTTTAGGGAGTATCCGGGATTTCATGCTAACGGCGGCGGAGATCGTCAAGAAGGTCGAAAGCAAGACATTAAGGATTATGTATGCATTTATTTGTGTTTTAGAATCTAAAATTTAGACGGTTTAATTAACTTTTTTTTGCCACAGGTAACTTTGCTCAAGGAGCTCAAGACTGCATTTTCCCCCTTCGGTTATATTCTAACTGCCGCCGTCTCAGCTGGCAAATGGACCATCGACAACGCCTATGATATTAAGGGCATTAACGAACACATTGACTGGATTAACTTGATGTCCTATGATCTTCACGTAAGTTGGATTTTTGTTTATTGTTGACTTTATAACTTTATCATCCACAAAATTAAGGGTTCTTGGGAGCATAAGCTTGGCCATAATTCGCCTCTTCATGCTTACTCGCATGAAGATTGGGATGTCGCTGCCAAGCAATTGACAATTGAATTTGCTGTAAATCTATGGATTGAACGTGGCATGGCACCGGAAAAAATCGTTTTGGGTACTTTTGATAATGTTAAATTGTTTACAATTTTTAACAATTTTAATATAATTTGATACAGGCGTCCCATTGTACGCTAGAACTTTCAAACTTGGCGATCAAAACCATTTCAAGCCTGGTGATACTGCCATTGGCTCTGGAGGAGACAAAGGAAACTTGACACAAGAATCTGGAATGCTGGGCTACAATGAAATTTGTATGATGATCAAACAGGGCGGGTGGAAGACCTATTGGGACGATAAAGCCATGGTGCCATATGCCGTCCACGCTAACCAATGGGCCAGCTACGATAACGTTAAAAGTGTCGAAGAAAAAGTAAAGTGGCTCATCAGTCACAAGCTTGGAGGTGGAATGGTAAAAACGAGTTGAGCAGTTTTGATTTTTGTTTACTAACCTTTTTTGAAATGTTTCTTAGATTTGGTCAATTGAAACAGATGTAAGTTGCTTTTGTTTGTGAAGAGAATTAACTAAAGTTAATTTTGAAAACTAGGATTTTCATGGTCTATGCGGAGAGGGACAATATCCACTTCTTAAAGCGCTTTCTAAAAATCTCAATGGAAGTAAGTAGTAGTGTTTTACTGTTTGTTTAAAAATTCAGTTTAATTATTTTGCTTTTCAGTTGATGGACCTGATGTAAAGATTCCTATTCCTGATGGATTTACAACGCCTAAACACTCATCAGACCAGACGCCAGGGTCGACAACTAAAAACCCTAATCCTCAAACTGATCCTCAGACTGATGCTCCAACAACAAAAGAGCCAAAAACCGATCCTCCAGTGACAGATAAACCAGATCCAAGTGGAAAGTTCAAGTGCACTTCAGCTGGTTTTTTCAAAGATCCAAAAGATCCTCGCAAATTCCATCAATGCGTCAATTTTGGCGGCTACTTCAAAGACTTTGTGTTTGAATGTCCTGAGGTAAGTAAAATTAATTTTTTGCAAAACTGTCAATTATTTTGTTGTTAATTTTAGGGAACGCGCTATGATGATAAACTTCATGTTTGTGTTTAAAATTTGTATTTAGTTGTAAATTTAAATAAATGTGCAATATTTGTATTGAAAAAAAATTTATTTAGAAAAAAAATTGCAATAAATAAAACAAAAAGTTTGGGAAAATGTTTTTGATGTTTATTATTAGGAAAATCTAGTTATCAAATTAAAACTTTAAGTTAGATAATAAATTCTAAATAATTTAGTAAATAATCCTGTAAAAGTTAAAAGTGGTAATTATAAAGTAATCATTGACTCAGTAAACTTACCTCCTACAACTGGCTAAATTTCCATAATCATAAATGCACTTTTCTGTTGAATCGCAGCAATGGTAGTTATGGTACCCAGCGCAAAATTGACCCGAACCCGCGCATTTGTGTTTGTACACATCAATTCCTGTAATGTCAGATTTTAAAACTTTACTTTTGACTTGTTGAAAAGGGTCTTACGTTGAGATAAAACTAAACTAAAACAAAACGACAAACACCAAACAAATATGATTAATTTGTTTTTGTTATACATGGCAACACTTTTATTTTGCTGATGAAAAAATATTTAACAGTTTATATTTCTGAAAATTAAAATCAAAGTTCAAAAATTCAAAGTAAATAGATGTTTTATCTGTTTTCTTTTGCTCGTCATTTCACCTTGACAGAAAAATCAGAAAGGTGAAGAGAAAACAAGTTTTTTGTTTGCTCATTGATGTTAGATGAATAGTAAATTCCAACTTGTTAAAAAATGTTTAAATTAATTTATCCAAACGATATTCTAAAAAATATAATTGATTAACAATAAAATTAAAAAGCAAGCAAACAATAATACTTTTGGCAAACTCCTGCAGTGCGACTTCCTTTGTATTTGCAAACATCACCACTATTGCAGCATGTTAGAGCAGATCTTCCTCCACAAATTTCATCCCGTTGAGCACAATTTTGATCAATTATTGTACAAAATGATAATGATGCGAACAAAAAGAAAAGGCCAACAATGGCTAATTGTTTGTTAGAAAACATGTTAGTTTTAGCAAATCACACAGCAGCAGATTGTGTTAAAAAATGTTAATTTTAGAACTCAAAAACTTGCTTTTTATTAAAAAGTCTTAAGCATGTTTTTGTTGACACTAGTTTTATTGCTCAAAATAACAAAAAATGACGTTACTATCATATCGAAAAGTGATTGCAATGCAACTTGAAGCAATCTGAAATTGTTATCAATTGATAAGAAATAGGATTGCAGTGTGTGTTCAGTTTGTTTTGAAACTTCAAAGCTTTTATTTATGAATTTATTAAAAATGGGAAGTTATTGTTAAAACTTAAAAACATTGTAACAATGAACAAAAACTTTATTGTTTGTTTGATCGGCAATGCCCAGCACTACCTAAGTCATAGATGCATGTGTCTTTAGACCCATCACAGCAGCGAACTCCTAAATACAATAAAAAATAATTTGTAAACACTTTTTTCTAAATTTATGTATGCTCAAACCGGCAAAGCCACCACATATTTCTCCACGATGAGCACATCCTGTTGATGTGGCTAAACACACATTTTTTGCCAATTAGAAAATAATATGTTGGATAATGATATTTAGTTACCATCAGCAGGAGAAATCCAAACTGGTGAAGTTACAAAAAGAATTCCAATGAAAACGGCAAAGTTGATGACAGCCATTTTGCAAAATTATAAATTGTTTAGCAAGTGCAATACTAAACTATCTACTAAATATATACTAATAAGGAAGTACAGAGGTTTTTATAGAGTAGGTAGTTCGTCCGTACTCTAATAGGAAAAAGTTCCATCACTACATTNGGCAAGTGCAATACTAAACTATCTACTAAATATATACTAATGAGGAAGTACAGAGGTTTTTATAGAGTAGGTAGTTTGTCCGTACTCTAATAGGAAAAAGTTCCATCACTACATTTAAAAATAGCTAATGTGTTGACAGCAAAAACTCATATTGCACAGCAAATGATTTTTTACAAGCTTGTGATTATGAGCGCTGTTTATGCGTTTTTGTTTTGATAAAAATCAATTCGCAAAAGGGTGCAAAGTTTATTCAATAGAGATTTCTACTTCTGTAGACCGGTTTCTCAAGTTTACGCTGCAAGGTTTGTTTTTAGTACATAGAGGCCGTTAAAATGAATCCTCAAATAAATGACACTGCTAATCATTGCCACATCAAATGCAAACATTGCATTTGACAACAAACTCAGTGAAAATTTGACCATGGCCAAAATTCACTACTAAAATTTACATTTTCAGTAAGAGAACAGAAATCACTTGTAATGACAGACAATCATTAGCAGCATTTTTTAAAGTTAACTTGTGTAGATTGTTTTAAAACATACTGTTGATAAAAATTTTTATTGAAATGATATTTTTAATATTTTTTAAGTTTTTGTTTAAAATTGAATAAACAAAAAGTTTCAATTTAACAGAAATGGTAAAAACAGTGCCATGGTAAATTTAAAATATAAAGTTGCATTTATCATATTGAAAAGATGTGTTGGTTTCTGCGACACACTAATTTAAAGTAAAAACAAAACAATATTTTAATGTTTTAAACTGTGTATTAGTTTCTAGATTTAATAAGTTGGCTGAGTATAAAAAGGTATAAAAGGTTCATCAAATAAATTACAAAAGTTCATCAGGTTTTTCATTTGTATCATCATCTAACACTACTCACTTTGGGTACTCAAACAAAACATCCTTTAAAATGAAGTTCATTTACTTGCTGCCCTTTGTCTGCTGTTCAGTTGGTAAAATTTGTCTAAATGATTTGAATTGTTTTTTATAAAAGTGTAACCCATTTTACATAGCTTTTGCAGCAAATGCTGGAAAGCAAGCGCGAGACACCTTTGAACAAGTTGAAACGCAAGATAAAAACCTTGCCTCGTACAGTAGTTTGGCCAGTCAGTATGCGACAAACCCCTACGGTGGCAACAATGGATACAACAACCACCACCACCAGCCATACGGTAATGCGGTGAATAAGCCTATTGTTAACCAGCAAATTCTCATCTCGGGTCATCATGGCAATAACCGAGACTGCAAGCGAACGGCCATTTTGCGAAGCATCCGAGATAAGATCACCGAGGCCAAGGGCTCTGCAGAGAAGGCTTGCGGCAATGTTGCCTCCCTGGCCAAGGTGCAACAGCAGGTGCAGCAGGTGATCAAGCTGCAGCCAACTTGCGGGTCCTATGCAACTCAGTACAAGAATGAGCCCCAGAATTTGAATGCTTTCGAACAGGATAACCAGTTTAAGAAGTCAGCCTAAATTTCCTTATCACAAATAAAATAGCACAGTACAGCACCCATTTCATTCGAGTTAATAAATTGTAGCAATATTTTCATATTTCAATAACTAATTTACAAATAAAATTACAACACAAATCATTGTCTTTCTTTTTATTTACTCTTTTTAGTTGGAGAAAGTTTAGTTGATGTCTCTGTCAAAAGATGGCTTTACTGCATCAAAGTATTTTTAAAACAAGTTATTGCATCAGTGTAAATTTATTTAAAAGCTATTGTCTATAATTAGTTTAAAACAGCAGAAAGCATTTTATAAAAACAAAATCATTAAACATCTATTTATAAATTCTATGCTCAATTTAACCTTGAACAGGTCGTCACTGTTTGCTGTTAATTACAATTTTTGGTCAGTAGTTTGAGCGTCACTCAGTTAAATGCAAACCACACGTGCAATAATTGTGGTTAGCACTTGAAATTAGTGGCTCAAATGACCTTTTGTTTTTTAAAAGAGTCGATTGCAGTACAATTAATATTTTTTGTTTTGTTTTCAATGTCATAACAAGTCGTCTCAGTATGACCACTGTCGTTACGAGCTTTCCGGCTTCCGCGTCTCAAAGTATAATGCCATTGAACTTCGTTGCCTTAAACCTTGAGAAAATTGACTAGCACATTTATTGAAACAAGAACCGGCAGCAAAAACTTGCATATGCATCAAATAAGCAATAACTAGTAGTAAAAACAATTTTAAAAAATTGTTTTTGACAATTTAAATATAACATCAGAAAAACAAAAAAAATAAATTTTTTAACTGATTTATTTTATTTGAGAAAAGCAAATTTAGGTATAAAAAGTGCGCAACAGAATGTAGTTTAGATGTAAATGAATAGAACTGGTCTCAACAGATTGAGAGGTGTTGGTGTGTTCAGTAAACACCCGAATTGTTTATCCACGACGACCGCCTCCTCGTCCACCTCGCCCGCCGCCAAAGCCACCTCGGCGTCCACCACCAAAGCCACCTCTTCCACCACCTCCTCCACGGCCTCGACCACCACGGCCTCGTTGGGCGCTGACAAAGACGGGCGAGAGAACGGCCAAGAGGGCCACCAGAAGGATGAAAATGTTAAAGATCTTCATTGTTCAGTGAGTGAGTTTTGTTGTTTAGCTGATTAGTTGAATCAAGTTGACTGCTGTACTGCTAGTGGAACCGAAAAAAATGTCTTTATATATCCCCCAGCTCATGGCCACCTGACAACCAGACAGTCGTACACTAGCGCAAAAACAGTCCTTCTCAAAATTCATTAGTTAAAATAACAATTGATGAAAGCGCACCCTCACCACCAAGAGAAAGCTGAACCGAAAAAAAAGAAAAGCAGAAAGAGAGAAAAAGGGACACTGGCAAAGTGAGTGAGAGAGGGCGGATTTCCCTCCTGCCGCGCTTCCCTTCACTGTTCTATGACAAACCGCTAATTGCGGATCAGGCGACTTCGATTGATTGCACTTGTGTCACCTGTGGAACGCTCACTGGGCAAAAACTGTCAATGCAAAACACATAAAATACTGCCTTAGGCTGGCAGTATCTTTTTAACTAGCAGTATTGGTTTTTTGGTATCCATTTTAAGATTAACTCATTTGCATACCCATTTTTTTAATTATTGACAGTTTTCACGTCATGTTCTCTCAATGTCATAAACAACTTCCCAATATTTTTGCTAGTTTTAAAACTAGACCTTTATTTAAATAATATTTTTTAGAAAAATTGCTATTTTTAGAAAATTTTAGGTGAAATATTAGCAAATTTTCAATGGTATTTAATTGCAATTTTAATTTAATTAGTTCAATTAGATAATGGTTTTTTAATTGATTATTTTTTGTTTGTTACCACGATTTTAAAAATAGCAAGATTTATAATGTCAGCTCTTTTATTCAAAAGTTATTTTCATCTAAAGCACAGTCGCCATTTTGAAATAAAATTTGCAGTTACATTTATTGCTAACAGATTAAACAAATTGAAGCTTTTGAAGTTATTTTTATGCAAGGTCACTAAACATGTTTTTTATCAGAATCAATACTTTAAATTGATGTGTGTAGGCAGATTCTCAATTATCGTTCAAGTTACAAAAATTAAATAATTGTTATCTAAAAAAATGATGTAATTAGTGGTGTTAATTGAAGTTGTATGTTATAAACAACTGAACCTAATGTTTTATTAGAGTTTTCAATTATCAAACTAGTTTATGATTTTTTTTATGAATGATTAAACATTACCAATTTAAATAACTTTTTAGTTCACATGAAAATTGGTTTGATGCTTTTGGTAAAACCTGTTAAATTGCAACATTAAGTTGTAAGAGGTCATTTATTATTTGAAGTTTTAAAATTAAAAAAGTTTAATGTTGCAGTTCCGGTAAAACTGTTTATTCATTCTTCATTTATCTTAACACATGTGATTCACTTGTGAAAACATTTCAGCGTTGCCAGTGGCGTATTCTGTCAATCAAAACGTTGTGATAATTTTGTCGCAAATCGATTTTCATGGACTTGAAAGGTGTTGCTCATTTTTTTGTAGCAGTCCAACTATGTGCATATTCTACATGCATAAATAATATTTAGTCTCCGACTTTTTCACACAAATGAGGCACCTTTGATTAATCTATTTCATAGTTTTTCTCATGTTTGATAAACTAAACTTGAACTTGTTTGACGAGAACATTAACGTTTTATAGAAAATTGCACTTTGGGGGTCAAAATTGAACAAAATTTGAAACTATTTAAGTTTTTTAACTTTAACTTGACTATAAAGTTTTTCTGATATGACATTTAAAGTTTATTAATTAAATAGACAAATTGACNAAACTTGTTTGACGAGAACATCAACGTTTTATAGAAAATTGCACTCGTTTAGGGGTCAAAATTAAACAAAATTCAAACTATTTAAGTTTTTTAACTTTAACTTGACTATAAAGTTTTTCTGATATGACATTTAAAGTTTATTAATTAAATAGACAAATTGACGTTTAATACATTTAAAATTTAAACTGATTAATGTTTTTATTTTTAAAACAAATCTATGATAGTTTGCTAGAAGCAAAAATTGTTTTTCATCTTAAAAGTTAACATTTTCTCACTTTTTCTAACCTTTTTTGTAAAAATAAATCAATTTGATTTCAATTTTTGCCAAATTTTTATCTACTCAACTTCGGAAAAACTGTCGATCAATCTGATCACCTTTATTTGCATCTAAATCTGAATTTTTTGCAAGTTTTATCAAGCTGCCTCGACCGCACCTTGATCTTTGCTTTCATTAATTGGAATCGATCAATGGACTTGCGCAAACCTAATTTTCTATTGCTTTTTCATTTATCAAGTTTTGCGGTAAGTTTTTTCTGCATACATGGCATTAACCTCAAATGAAAAACCTGTAAAATTGTAATGAAACAGTATTTTGCTTTTTAGTTTCCTTCATTTACACTTTAAAACGCAATTACAATCTAGTGCCTATAAACTGCTTGTTAAACTGATCTGTATTGTTTTCGGTTAAATGTAAATGAATCTTTGTGACCATTTTCCCACTCACATACTTCAGTAATTGCCTTTTGCTATTGATGTTGACTGACAATTTGTGATGCAACTTCTCATCACCAGTGGCCATCAGTGGTTTAGTCATTTAGCGCGGCAATTTGCATGTTCTTGCAGTGACCCACACAGGTCAACAGGTAATGGCACCGACACGATATAATGGGCAACATATATGGTAGCAGTTATTCTCTAAGCTCAGTGCAAACTTTTTTTGTTTTTATTTTATCCAGCACTTGAGCGGACCACCCTTGAGCAAGAAAAAAGTGATTGGTGATTGGACAAAACAACTTATTTCTTTTTTAAACAGTTTTTTTCATTTGACAATTTCAACAAACAAATAACACACTGATCAAAAATGAAATTTATCAGATAACGTTTATCAAGTGTTTCTATATTATGCCAGCTTAGAAAATTTTTTGTATTCTAGCCACGAGATTTTAATATATTTTGATTTTCAAAAATGCGCGCAACTTTGATAACAAAAACTATTTATAGTAGCAAACAATGTTTTAGAAAATGTTAAAATTTTTATTGTGTTTTTTGACGTATTCAGAGCAATGAAAAAATGCATCTTCAGAGAATGCACTTTTGCAAAAAAAGATTGGCAATTCTCACGTATTGTTTTGTATGCTGTAACAAGAATTTTTGCTTTTCTACTATTCATTTTATTGACTTTTTTGCTATACTGTAAAAGGCTCATACACACTCTTTTCACTCTTTTCGTCATTGCGGATATCTATCTGTCTGACCACACACACGCCTTCAATCTGCTGATCTGACAGTGATGAAATGTGCCCGTGCCAGTGTGTGTGCTCCACTGGCAAATGGACGCGGTGTCAGGTGCTGTTTGGCTGTGATGGTTGCCGTTGAATGCCAAACAGGCTGGGCACTGGACACTCACTGAACACTAGCGCTCATATAAACAGCATCGCTCTGACAACACACTCACTGATGGGTAGATTTGTGGTGCGGCACTGGTTGTCCTACATCACTCTGCGGCAACCTTTTTTTCTATCTACATTAGCTAATTTTTTCTTTTTAATCTTTTGACTGAAAAACTGCTTGACATGAGTCCAAAGAATGAATGTCTCGAAATTTGCATCCACTGACAGGTGATCTTAGGAAAGCATTTTAAAAATTCTTTTTTTAAAGTGCTATAAAATATCTCTAAACTAAAACAAAAATTTATTTTGCTTGTTTTTTAAATATATTTTTCAGTTTTCTTTATAATATTACGTAAAACATATTATTGCATTTAATTGTACTTAAAATAGTTTTTTGACAATTATTGCAGTTTTTGAGAGTCAAGAATTTGAAACCACAAGAATGCAGCACAGCAAGTTTGATCGTTTGTTGAGGTGTCATAACTCATTCCTTGGATTGCTGTCTAATCTATTGTCGTGCTGTTACAAATAGAAAAGAAACTGAAGAAACAGCAACAGCAGCGTC